GGTCACTATGAGTCGGTACCGACTCGATGGCATGTAACAACAACAAAATCACTGACAGGTGGGGACTATGCTTGAGCATCCTCACACATGGCAAGAGAAAGTTCTACCATTGAGCTACTACTGACTGTGAAAAGAAATGCTCCTGTTGTTAGGGTACTGTCAAGTCGGCTCCAACTCACAGTGACCCTGTGCACAACAGGACGAAACACTGCCCACCCCTGAGCTACCCTCACAGTTGTTACACTTGAGCCCATTGCTGCTGCCACTGTGCCAGTTAACCTCATAAGGGTTCTTCCTCATTTTCGCCGACCCTCTATATTACCAAGCATGATGTCCTTCTCCAAGGACTAGTCCCTCCTGATACCATGGCTGAAGCATGAGAGATGGAGTCTGGCCATCCTGGCTTATAAGGAGTAATCGGAGTGTACTTCATTCAACAATGATTTGTTTCTTCTTCTGCGGTCTGCATTGTTCATTGTCCAACTTTTCACATTCATATGAGGCCATTGAAAATACTATGACTTGCGCCAGGTGCATCTTAATCCTCAAACCTGCTATCTTTGCTCTGGAACACTTTAAAGCGGTCTTGTGCAGTACATTTTCCTAATTCAAGTGTCTTTTGATTTCTTGACTGCTATGTTGACTGGATCCAAGCAAAATGAAGTCTTTGACAACTTCAATCTTATCTCCATTTATCATGATTCTCTTAATTGGTCCAGTTGTCAGGACATTTGTTTTCTTTACTTTGAGGTTCAACCTATATTTAAGGCTGTAGTCTTTGATCTTTGTAAGAATTTTAAGTCCTCCTCACTTTCAGCAAGGTTGTACCATCAAATCACAGGTTGTTAATGAATCTTTTTCCAGTCTTGATGCCACGTTCTTCCTGTAACCCAGTCTCGGATTATTTTTTTCAGCATACAGATTGAAATGAGTATAGCAAAAGAATACAATTCTGGCACAGTTGTGGGATGACATCACGAACATCATGCAGGACGAAAGCAAAAGGTCATTAAAAAGACAGAAAAGATCAAAATGGATTTCAAAAGAGATTTTCAAACTTGCTCTTAAACATAGAGATGCTAAAGCAAATGGAACAAATGAGGAAGTAAAAGAGCTGAATAGAAAATTTCAAAGGGCAGCTCAAGAACACACAGCACTTCTCAAGCTAAAAGAACTGAAAGATAAAAAAATTCAAGTCTTGATTTACAGTATTGAAGAACTCCATGGGTCTGTATAACTCCCACCGATAGTACTGAAGGCATTGTCAAAAAGTTATAACCTGAAAACGATACATGTTGGTTTGATTCCACAGTACTGTGGTTCATAGTAGGTCCAAATTTTCTTTCATATAACCTTTAAAAGTAATGAGTCTAAAACCTTTCTTAATAACTACTCTCCACTAGTGTGGCACTGTAGGATAAGCACTGGACTGCAAACCCCAAAGTCAGCAGTCAACTCCACCAGCTGCTCCTCTGAAACCCTGTACAGGGTTACTATGAGTAGAACAGACTCAACAGCACTTAACAACTGGTGTGGCACTCTGGCTTAATGCGCTGGATGGTAAGGTCAGTGATTCAAGCTCACCACCTGTTCTTCAGAAACCCTATACAAAGTTGCTGTGAGTCAGAACTGACTTGACGGCACTTAACAAGAACAACATGAGCAAATGGTCCCACTATTTTAGAAATAGTATGGTGCTTCCTCAGAAAGTTGGAAATAGAAATACCATATGATCCACAAGAAATATGAGCCATAACATGAGTAGGTATATGCACACCAGTGTTCATACACTGTTCACAATAGCAAAAGGATGTAGACAGCCTAAGTGCCCATCAATGGGTAAACAAGCTTTGGTACCTACTCACAATGGACTATCATGATATCTGGAAGAACAACAAGGAAGCTGCAAGCCACCGCATAACATGGATGAACCTTGAGGACATTATGCTGAGTGAAATTAGTCAGTCACAAAAGGACAAATATTGCATAAGACCATTATTGTAAAAGCTTAAGATACCCATACTACAAGGCAAAAAAAGAACTTGAACAGAACCAACTTGACAACACTTAACTACAGCAACAATACTTAAATAATAGGTGAATCAGTGTTCATAAAACATCGTTGTGCTCAGTTTCATTGATGTAGATTAGAAAGAATATGTGTTTTGTAGTCAGACCTAGATTAGAATATATGCTCTATCATTTTTTTTCTTAATGTAACTTTGGGAATTTTTAAATCTTAATTTTCATAAGCAAAATGAGGATGTTTTTGTTGTTAAATGATGTGACTCGTAGCTACCCTGTGTGGTGGTTTCCAAGGCTTTAAATCTTCTCTAGAGCAGAAAACCTCATTTTTCTCCCTCAGGGAGACTGGCAGGATCAAACCAAGGACCTTGTGGTTTGCACTCTAGTGCTTATTGTATGGGCCACCATGCTCCCCAAACTGGAGATAGTAAGAATAATTATTTTCAGGGGTGTCATGACTGTAAAGCCCCTAACATAACGTTGTTGTTTTTAAGTGCCGTCAAGTCGTTCCTACTCATAGCAACTCTGTATTTCTGAGGAGCACCTGGTGAACTTGAACCACCGACCTTGCAGTTCAGACAAACTTTGCAATCCAGTGCATTAACCCACAGCACCACACCAGGGCTTTTAGGCCCTCACTAACTGGTGATTTAAGGTGTTCTCCAAATAAGGAGAAATCCTCCTCTTGGTTATGGGAATAAACAATGATTTTTTTTTAATGAGTTTGAATGTTTAACTTACATGTTCACTTAAATGAGGACAGAACAGTAAATTTAAATAATGTCTGTTGATTTCTGGCTAAAATGTGATACCCTGTTCTGCAGCATCTCTGTGAAATTTGGTGTGTGAAATTTGGTGAGTTAGTACTGTTCAAGGGATACACTATTTTTTGTAGCATCAACTGAACTTACTGAAGGTAGGACAATGTAGAAAATGAGTTTAGTGTATATGATGTGCCCTTCTGTATGTTTCTGATGCATTTGTCAAGTTTAGAATGTTTCTTATTTTTCACCAATCACTAATAAATGAAAGAATTATAGTTAGAAGTAGACTGTTTAAACTCTGAAATACATGTTTGCTCAACAGATTCAGCTTCAGCTTCGGCGAGCTCATGCAGGCTTGGGGACAGGGAAAGGATCCTCAATTGAAGATGTTCACCTTCTTCAAAACAAGAACAAAAAGAACTGGGATAAAGCACGAGAGAGGTTTGCTGAAAACTTCCCAGAAACTAAACCTCAAAAAGATGCCCCAGGATCTATGCCTTGGGTAAAAGGAAGTACAGAGTGAAGGTCAATCAGAGAACAAAGGTCAGACTTTAGAAGGACTTTGGAAACGACTACTGCTGAGCTTTGTCCTCTAGACACACAAGTGGCATAATTGCCCCCTCAGGACTCAAAAATGTGTAATAAAGTACGATTTAGTTACATTGCTAAACTTTGCAGCTTTCAAAAACAGTTTTTTTAAAATAAATGCTGACTGAATCATGTTATGCCGTAGTGGACTGAAGTTCACAGGACATGGATGAGGTTATCAAACTTTGTTATTTTATCTTGTCCTTCATTCATATCAACAGATGTCCATATAAGCCTGTAACCACTACTGCCCTAACTGTACATTTGTCCTTGTATTTTCATCCTGTCTCCTCTTACTCATTTCTGTAAGATGCACAACAACAACAACAACAAAAAACTACAGAACTTTATGAGAAACGGTTCTGGCCATGTGCATCCTTGTTTATCAAAACCCTTTAGAACCTAGATCAAAAGTGTTGAGATGGGTAGTGCTGCATAAATTTAATTATCCTTGAAATAACTTAAGTAATATCATTGAAGAACTGATGAACAGGTGACATATTGTAGAAAGTTTAAGCTTTTTGTTGTTTTCTTCTGTGAAGAATCTATTGATTTGTACTATATATTAAGCATTTACTTTTGGTTTGTTTCATAGCTAATGAGCTATATTTAGATATGAACAACTGAGTACAGTATTAAAATATTCAGTGTGCTGGCATATGTAGTTTTGATAAATCCCATTGCTGGCAATGGAGTTGTGCCAGAGAAATCTGATTGCTAGTGCAAACAGATGACCTAATCAGGGCCTCAAACTCAAGACATTTATTGCAAATGTACTCAAATGCAATAAAAACAATATTAACATTGAAAAGAGTGATTCATTGAAACAAAAATTTTAATACATTGGTCTGTTTTGAACATAGGACCAGCTAGCAGTTCCATCTTAAAGTTGGCAGAGCAGTGACAAAAAGGTAACCTGAAATATCAGAGAAGTGCACTGCAGCCTGCTGGGAATAGGTGTCACTTGTCTGGTGGTTAGTACTATTCTTCCCTCTGTTCAACTTTCTCTAAGCTTTTTGTTGGAATTAACACTGGAACTGCCCCTTTCTGACCATGAATTTAAGCTACAGTTCCCTTGTATTGTACAAAGAAATACTATAAGGTAAAGAAATGGGGAAAACAAAATTCTAGAGAAGAAAAAATAGTACAGCAGAAAAAATAATTCAGAGAGACAGACACTACCTTTGGGATTTCCATTTCAGAAAAAAGGGAAATAGGGAACAAGAAAAGGTCCTACATATATATATATGGAG